TCTATGAGTGTTAATGGTTGATCCAAGAAGAAAGAAGTCCTTGACAACTTCAATCTTTTCTCCATTGATAAGAATGTTGTTTATTGGTCCAGTGTTGAGGATTTTTGTTTTCTTTACATTGAGATGCAATCCATACTGAAGGCTGTGCTCTTTGATCTTCATCAGTAATTATTTTAAGTCCTCTTGACTTTCAGCAAGCAAGGTTGTATCATCTGCATATAGCAGGTTGTTAATGAGTCTTCCTCCAATTCTGACACACGTTTTTCTTCATAGAACCCAGCTTTTCAGATTATTTGCTCAGCATACAGGTTGAATAAGTATGGTGAATACAACCCTGTCGCACATCTTTATTAATTTTAAACCGTTCAGTGTTCCCATGTTCTGTCCAAACAACTGCCTCTTGGTCCATGTACAGGTTCCTCATGAGCACAATTAAGTGTTCAGGAATACCCATACTTTGCAATATTGTCCATAGTTTGTCATGATCCACACAATCAAAAGCCTTTGCATAGTCAATAAAGCACAGGTAAACATCTTTCTGGTATTCACATATTGTTGTTGTTAAGTGCCATTGAGTCAATTCCTACCCATAGCGACATAGGGTTTCCAAGGAACAGCTGGTAAGCTTGAACCACCAACGTTGTAGTGCAAATGATTTTGCATAATAGGAGGCTTCAAAAAAATGTATGGAAAAAAATGCATTATCTTTTGATTCCACTTTTCCGCAAACTTTTTGAAGTTCCCTTGTATATAGAAACTTGACTGCATAGCAGTGAGGAAAGTACAGTGTTTTAAGTAAATGCCATTGAGTCATTTGTTTACACACACAGTAAGAACATTTATATCCACAAGTGCTCTGGTTTTAACAAAGAGAATGATTCTTTTCTCTGGGTTTAAGTGGTACTCCTCTTTCAGGATGAAATGAAGTTCTTTCAATTTTTGGTTCTCATTGCTAGAATCCATGGAAACAATCTCTAGTTCCGACAGCTTTATGTAAAAGGGAAACATTTTATAAATGGCCTGTAAATTCTAGAACACACTGATATTTTTCTATAGCTCAAATGATTAATCTTTAAGTCTCTGACCACAATTTTTTAAGAAATAATCTTCTGATGTGGTGCTGTAGGATCAGCACTGGACTGTAAACCACAAGGTCAGCAGTTCAAACCCACCAGCTACTCCTTAGAAATTCTATACAGGGTCACTATGAGTCAGAACCGACTCGACGGCACTTAACAACAACTTGCATATATCGCCAATTTAAATTGATACAACCTTTTAAGAATGCAGTTTGGCAATATATATCAAAACTTAAAGCTCACACATGCTTTGATCCTGCAATTCTACATTGAAGTATTGAAGCCATAGTTATATTTAGAAAAGCAAGGAAAATATCTCCAAAGCTGTTCACTGTACTAGTGTTTAGAATATATAAGGAAATAGAAAACAACCTAAAAGACCAACAATAAGGTAGTAGTTTAATAAATCATGGGTTAAGCTTTTAATGGAGTCCAAGTGTGGCACTGTAGAATAAAAACTGGACTGCTAACTGCAAGGTTGGTAGTTCAAACCCATCAGCCACTCCTCGGAAACCCTATACAGGGTCACTATGAGTCAGAACTGACTCGACAGCACTTAACAACAGCATTTAATGTTAATATGACTTAAAAATAATGAGAGGTGTTTATGTCTATGCTAATATGAACAGACCTCCAATATATAAGAAAGATCATGGTATGAGACAGCTTGTTCAGTATGATTCCAGCTTCACAAACACATACCTATAACCAATGGGATGCTAGATTCAGTTCCTTCCAGGCTACATGCAAGTGTCACATTTTCAAGAACTGTGTGAGCTGGTTTTAAGCAATCATTATTAAAAATTCAATCATATAAACTTACAGTTAAATAACTTATTTAAAAACAAGTGTAATGTAAATCAAAACCACAATGAAATACTACTCTACAAATTCCAAAACTTGCAGATAGTACCCATATGACCTAGCCTTGATGGCTTGATAATCAGAACTAGACTGTTGTTGTTGTTGTTGGTAAGTGCCGTCGAGTCAGTTCCAACCCATAGCGACCCTGAACAGGGTTTCCGAGGCTGTAAATCCTTATGGGAGCAGAAAGCCTCATCTTTCTCCTGCAGAGCAGCTGGTAGTTTTGAACTTCTGAAACTACCGATTCACAGTCCGATTCATACCCACTACACTACCAGAGCTCCTTCAGAGCTAGACTAGAGGAAGATTAAAAAAAAAAAAAATTTTTTTTTTTTGATAAAGGAAACAAGGGTAAATTGCTACAATTTGACGAACTTGACCTATACTCATGGAGGCAGTAACTCTAAATACCAACAGAGAAGGAAGGAGTCTTCACATCAAGTATCAATGCTATCCCCTCTGTACACAGGGTAGATA